TGATCTTCCCAGGCACAGAGGTGAGGCTGACAGGTCGGTAGTTCCCAGGGTCTTCCTTTCTACCCTTTTTGAAAAGGGGCACAATGTTTCCCTTTTTCCAGTCGCTGGGGACTTCCCCTGACTTCCATGACTTTTCAAATATCATGGAGAGTGGCTTGGCAACTACATCAGCCAGTTCCCTCAGGACTCTGGGATGCATCTCATCAAGTCCCACGGACTTCTGTACATTTAGGTTCCTCAGGAGGTCCCGAACCTGGTCTTCACTTACAGCTGGAGGGATTTTACCCTCCTGGTCTCCTTCATGCCATCCATTGACTCGGGAGGGGTGAGGAGAGAGGTTGTCAGTGAAGACTGAGGCAAAAAAGTTGTTGAGTACCTCAGCTTTCTCCTCACCTGCTGTTACCAGTTTGCCGGTCTCGCTCATGAGCGGGGGTACGCTTTCTTTGACCATCTTTTTCCGGCTGACATACCTGTAGAAGCCCTTCTTGTTATTTTTCGCATCCCTTGCCAAGTTCAGCTCCAGCTGTGCCTTGGTCTTCCTGACCCCATTCCTACACAACCGGGCAGCTTCCCTATACTCTTCCCAGGAAGCCAGTCCCTGCTTCCACTGCCTGTGCAGTTCCCTCTTCTTCCTTAGTTTGACCACCATCTCTTGCCTCAGCCATGCCGGTCTGTTCCCTTCTCTGCCCGACTTCTTACACTTGGGGATCGAGAGCTCTTGCGCTCTCTGGAATACACCCTTAAAGACCTGAATCTTTCAGTTCTATTACTTCCATTCTTATAAACCTTTTCAAACTGTTCTCTGGGGTACAGAAAACCCTCTTCTGCTTTTTTACTTCTCCTGAGTAAAGGCTAATTTTAAAGTAACTGGTTAAATTCACATGTTCCATCCCTGTAGGGGTGGTAGTCCTGAATACTAGAATACGAACTACCCTTAAACACATTTCTCCTCGCTGTCTGTTACTCTGCACCTGCCAATTCAGCAGCTGGCAGCACAAGGATGTGAGAGAAAGCAATGTAGTTTAGCAATGACCAGTGGCCAGCCAAGTTCTCTGGAAAGGTGGTATAGTTGTGAAAAACACATACAGCTCTCAAGAGAGTAATTAAAAGTCTGTCTTTGCTCAGGCATCTTGGCAGGTTCCTACCAGGTCACACAAATATGGGAGATTACTTTCATCTACAATTTGCTATTAATCTACATGTTTTAAGTGCTACTTATCACTGCATTTACCCATATTTTTATACATGATTTTAGACATGCTTACGGTGAGAAGAAATAATTCCCATATGCAACACTTTGATAATCCTTCTAATATGGAAAATCTTTTCCAGCCACTTAAATTTAGCATACAGGCAGATACCTACTCCAAAAGGAGAGATGTGCCTTGCCTAGATTACTGGTAATTAATACAGTTGTAACATCCCTTCTAGTCAATGCACAATAAGCTCAAATTTCATGGTTTGTAAACTTGTAGTCACAGTGTAGAACAAGCATACAACCAATTTGTGTTTAAAACGTCCCAGACAGACAGTTTTTGCCTGGCAAACTGAAGACGTGTTTAGCTGAGGGCTGTGGGAGTGATTCACACCAGCTGAATGGGGGAACATGGTGACATGAGAAGAATCCAAGGGAATTGCAGCATCTTCACTCCAAAATGTGCTGGGAAATGCTCAATCATCTCCCCGTTCCCTCATCCTTTTTATAGTGTCATCTTGGTATGCTACTTCTGTGAAAAACTGTATAAATTTATCACAATGTATGCAATGTATTTGGGCCTGATAGGACAAAAAGTGAAGTGAATTTTTCTAGCACTTCTTCAATTTGTGTGAATGTGCAGAATTTACTGCTTGCTTGATTTGCCATCTAGATTGGAAGCTAAGCAGGCAATTATTGTAAACTAGCACCTGAAAAATCTACACTTCTCTAAATGTTTTTCATAGAAAAGTCCTTTGCAAGTTTATAGTAAAAATTTACACATCAATTGACACACATTCCATAGCTGATGCTGTGAGAAATAGAAGCTGTTTCCAAGATTAAAATGCACGAAAATCAAATGTAAATGCAAAATCCTATTACATTTCTTAAAGGGAGAAAGGCAGTTATTTAAAAGAGCACTTTAATACAGAGCTATAAGATTTAAAATTCTGTCTGCACAATTTGTATATATACATAAGCTAAAAATATGCATTTCTCAGAACTATTTATGCAACTTTAATAGAGTGGAATTTTTATTTGTAAATATGAGCTTAAAAAGATGCAATTTTACAATCCTATTATTGCATTTTTCGCAAATGCTCCAGACATTAATGCTGTTCATCATTTCATTATTTTTTAAATTAAAACAGTATTCTGTAGTATCCGTGATCTGATTTTCAAGCACAGTATCAAAACTATCCTTAAGTCACAGGTTAGGTCTTCCATTACCACAAGCAGCTGTGTTCTATCAGCTTTCTATAAAGTGGCCCACCCTCCACGTTAAACAGATTTTTTTTGTTTGTTTGCTTTGTTGACTGATAGCCATACTACTGTTATTGAGAGGATTAACTTATGGTTAGAACCTTTTTTTAAACTTCTAGTTGTTATCCACTTGTTTACATCACTTGTTTCTACCCCATGGTTACACATCCAGTAAAAAAAAAATCATATTCTTTGTTGTCCTTTGTTTTTCTCAGCTAATGAGGTTCCTCTTGTAAATATTCTCTATTTCCATGAACTGCCAAATAGTCCTTCTTAACATCTGCTCATTGGTCCTGAAAATTGACTGAATTGTACACATTCTTATTAATAAGGTCGCTGTATAGTATTTTACCAGATTATTAATATTTCACTCTCTGTTGGCAATTACTTACCTACTTCCCCTTTACACAGCAGAAGGCACTGATGGTTCCTAGACACACTGTGATCGACTGACATTCACAGATCTTTATCATCTTAAGTCATTTCCAGAAGATGTGCTCTCCCTAAATCTAACAGTAAAATTCCAGCAGTGTGTGATGTGGTGCAAATAATCTGATTTCTATATGTGCTGAGAACCTAGTACTTCTGTCGATTTGCATAGGATTATCAATTTCAAGGATCAGGCCAGAAGAAATTCAAGCTCATTGTATGTAAAGTATTTCTGATAAGAAGCATAAGTTTACAAGGATATCAGCTTTGCCAGATAAGACTGAATAAGTGCACTGAATCCAGACAACCTGAATATCCAAATAATGTAAATGCGAGTCAAAAATCAGAGTTGCTTCAGGTCGTTTGTTGGCAAGGGGATGCAGTTGCTCTGTAAGATTTTTAAGACTCCACAATAAGTCCTTCAGCTCTGTTTTCAACTACATGACCTTCTACCAGAGAAAGGACGTACTGCACTACTCTCGGGCAAGTTTTTCTCAATTTCACACCACCCTTCCTAACTTTTTAGCCAGCTCCTATGAGTGACCATGCCTCTCTACCATTTTGATTACCTTACAGGTTGCTCCACAATCAAGTCAAATTTAACATCAGTCCAGTTCGTTACGATATCTGGATGTCATCAAAAAATCCCCTCATGTTTGTGCTGAGGAAAGCTGTTCACAGGTTTACCTATCTGCTATGGTAAGACAACGTACCAGTGATAAAATCTTACCCCATTCTAGGAAGGAATTAAAGGAAAAATACTCTTCTCCAACCTGCCATCCGTAATATCATCTCAGGGAACAGTGCACTTAAAAAAACCCACAAAATCCAACCAAATGAAAACAACCCAAAATCTCAGCAAACAGCAGTTCACTACATCAGATTATAGTCCAAGGACAGAGAAAAACGAAGTAGAAGTAACAGCCAAACTAATTAAACCACCTTGCTCAATTTTCTACTAGAAGGCATTCAAGTACAATATGATGAGGCTAAAAGTCAGAACCCACATGAAAATAGGAGCACCTTTATGTAAAAACAAGATCGCTGAGACAGAAGTTATTTTTTGAAATATTGGAATACAGAAACTGAGAATTAAACACCTAATAGAAATGTATCTACAAGGGCACTGTATAAATTCTTGGTCTCGTTTGTGTTAACAAAAACCTAGCAGCATTTCACCAGGTAGGTCTGCCTCCAGTAAAATACTTTAAACTCCATTTACACTAGCGGAAAACTTGACATCTTCAGTTATATTGAAGTAATGGCAGCTGTCGTTCTCTTCAGATACCAGATATGCTCACCTTGATATTCTCAAGAAATTTTCAGTTTAGTAAGCTATTTATAAGAGATACTGTAAGCTGAGGCAGAAGTCATTATTGATTAAAAATAGGCAGACTTCTAGGAAAAGAGAAGCAGCACACGTGTGTATTTCACCTAAATACAATCACAACATAAGAATAAAATACTGCAATTTGAAAAAACTCTTAGAACAGTTAACATTTGAATACTTTTGAAACAAAGAAACAGAAAATTAAATAAAATTAATAGATGAATCACAAGGATATAAAGTAAAACAGATGATGTGACTATTTTTCTTGATGAGTAGTCAACACTGCAATGCAATTTCTTTCATTAAATGCCACTTCACAGTACCATGGCTCCATATGTATGTCATAACGGAAGAGCCACAACCAGTATTGTTCCCATCACAGAGATGCATTTGCCTCTTTCACTTCATCTCTCTTTAAGCAAAAATGGAATTAATAAAAATTACAAGAATTTATAATTCTTGTAAAAAAAGAATGCAAGACAAGTGCTGAAGTCCTTCAGGCGCTGCCACTCCTCCACACCGCACTAACGGGGCAGGAGATATTACACAGCAGAGAGAAGCATAATGTATCCTGTCATATATCTGTCCTAAAAGACACAGCTCTGGGAATTCAATTAACTTTTATTACATTGTTTTATCAAGAGATCCCACAAAGGGTTATTCTGCAGGGAAAGCCTTATATTGGCAACGTTTCTAGCATGGTATTGTTATAAACCAAAAGATTAGATCTACAAAGAACTGCTGCCACATTTCAGGTCTTAAAAAATAATTTTATGCATTTACCTGCCCCCATTATGAGCCCTGGTGCCGTGTCCTTCGTATGGACTGTTCCTGACACATAGGGATTGTCTGCCCAGCGGAGATGGAGGTGAAGGTAGCAGTCAGGCTTGGGGGAGAAGAACAAGATGACAGGTTTAAAAAAACCCAAAACAACTGGTAACATTTATGCTCTTACAAAAATGAAAGCCCACTCAGAGAGCAGCTTCAGCCATGTATGTCTTTGCAGAGAAAGAGAACGGCTGTTTCCCGTGGAGCCAACGTCCAGCCTGAACTACCAACCTTAGCAACCTAACAAGAATCTCTGGTGATGTCTCTGTGGTCTGTCACTCTCAGCATAAAGATTTCCAAACTCAAAGAAGTGAGAATGAAATTACTGTTGAAAAAAACCCTTCTGACAGAACAATTGCTTAAAAATGCTAACCAACATCAACAAGTACTGCATCTTTGTTGTTCCCAGGTAATCGGTAAAACGATGATTAAGAACAACTATTTATACTGAAATTTCTTTTTTTAGAAAAAAAAAGTCATATAAAAAATAGCATAATGACTTTTGGACCCACCTGATCTCTCCTTGCTAAGTATCTTACTGCTTCTCGCTCTTTGTGCAGCAGCCCTCAAAGCTCACATTGCTCCCAGCAATCTGACCACGAGCTTCCCCGGGAGTGGACTGCCAGCACCGCCTGGGAGCTGCTGCCACTGCAATCCCTCCGCTCATGTCGGTGAGCTCTGGATCAGCCCTGCAGGCTGAAATCACTGTCCCGCACTCTTCAAAAGGGAGCCAGCAGCTCCAGCCCTCGTTTTCTGTTACATGGAGAGGGATCAAACCTCTGGCAGCAGCAGGACTAAAAGCATTTATTTCACCCAGCTTGGAGTCCCCAGAAGCAGAGAGTTGGTGAGAAAAATAAAAAGTTTTCAGCACAGCCTCGAAAATAACAAAATATTATGGCTAGCTGGGATATCTAAACAGACTGAAATAACAGTCTCTTACAAAAAAAAAGAACTTTTTCATGCAGTTAACTGTGGTGTTTATTTCCAAGCAACTGTCAAGAGCTCCCTTTAACAGGGAACGAAGGGTTACCTTGGTTTAAGATGAAACAAAAATATGAAAGATGGAAAAAGGAAAGGTATTTGTGAGCTCTGTTTGACTGATGACATGCCCCTTATATCCAGACACAAATGGCTGTTGTCAGGATTATTCTGAACAGGGTTGTGTGGTTGACACACAAGAAAAAGTGTCCTCTTTCTGTCAAAGTAAGCTCTACAAAAAGAAATGCAGTGGTACAGAGAGTCGTGACTACTCACTCTAGAAGATGACTGGACTAACAGCTTGTGAAACCACTGCTCAATGCAATGCAAATTGATTTGCATATTAATTTGGCTGGTAAACTCAGCACAAAGCTCTGGGGCTGTCAGAACTACTGCATGTCCTACTGCACAAATACATCCTGTGCACTTTCGAGAACGGATAGGTTAAGGATAGGTTAAAAAGAACCACTTACAGGTTTGCAGTTTGTCGGTTTGCCATTCATATCAATGTCTGGAGGGTTTAGAAAATCCCAGTCACGGCCTTTGTTGTAAGTTATCAGAGTTGTAACTTTCCCATCAATTTTCTGGTTGGCCAAAAAGACTCCTTTTACTCCTCTGACCTGAAGCATACAAGAGAGAGGGTTAACGACCAGAACATACACATTTTTTTCAGCAAGGATTATCCCTGATTAGCTGCTCTTTTGTGGCTCTGAACTGTGTACCTCAGGTGGTTTCTCCGCTAGGAAAGTGAATGATATCTTAAAAAAAAAACAAGGAAGGCAAAAGAATAAGAGAAAAGGGAGAAAAGGGGAAGGGGGAGATAATTACTAACTGATTTGTATTTCTAAATGTATCTAAAATGATATGCAGTTCTCTCAGTGTCAGAAGGCTAATCAAATTACATGTAGTTTACACAGCAAAATACAAAAATTATGGTGTCATGGCCTTACTGTACGCTACTGTTAAAATTACAGTTCTGCATTTTTTAAAATATGGACATCTCTAAAATATTATTATACAAGTGATGTAAGCAATTTATAACAGCAACCTGACTTTTACACTGAAGTCATGTGACCTACAACATATAAATAGTACATAACTAGGTTACAACAACAAAGTATGATACAATATCCTTTAAAATAACACTGAATTAGGAAGCACAATCGTCTTTTGTGGGAAATAAATACAGACAGATCATCCAGGGAAGCAACAGTGAGGGGTGAGTCAACCTCTCCAGCATCTGAAATGCTTCCACCCCCAGCCTACCTCCACACATTTAGCCTCCCTTCACATGTTTAACTTCTGGGGCAAAAGAAAAAAAAAAAATTTACAGGCTGTCTCTTCTCTTGGGCACACTTACTAATTTCATTTCAAAACAATCTGTATTAGAAAATGATTGAAATTCAGAGTGTCAAATTTAATGGGGATAATTTTTAGAAGCAACCTGACAGTAATCGCACCTTAATATGTTTAGTTGTAGCCCTAACATCTATGTTATATGTTAATATTCCACCCAATGGCACAAAATAAGATCTTGTACTAAATTTGAAGGTTGCCTTAAGAGTGCTCGTCTCTCTTGTGATTATTTGTAAGGCTTTATGAATTTATCAAAAATTCTTGACAATGTGTATCAACTCATATACCATTTCCAGCACAGTACAGCTCTCTAATCTGCTTATGCACTGACATTTAACAGAACTGAAGCATTCATTACAACTAAATGCACAAGATAGCCAGCTCTTTACAGGATGAGGAATATTTGCCTCTTGCTGACATGATTCACTCCTGAATTTACGATGTATTTTGTATCTGAAATACTTACTCTTTCCTTTTTTCCAGCTACCAGTCAGGAGGGTTGAACTAGATGACCCACAGAGGTCCCTTCCAACCCCTACCATTCTGTGATTCATTTAACAAAAGTCTGTATTTGGGGTGAAGAGAAGGCATCCCTTGCAGCAGGCTATAGATTTGATACTTAATGTTTATAAATACGTGCTTTTTTTCTAAGGAACTGATCCAAATCTGCAGAGAATAAGAATGTTCTGCTGGTTATTGTAACAGCCTAGAACATGGAAATATATTTAAGTTTAGATAACCAGATTCTGTATAGACATTTTAATACCCCGCTCTCTCATGAGCTCCTTCTTCCATGCGTGCGTGGTTGGCTTACTTATCCGGGATGCTGGAAGCTCAGAATCACCTCCAAGTCAAAGTCAACTACTTTGCAGTGCAGGCAAGTGAGGGAAGGGGAGGGAAGAAACAAGGAACCTGCTTTCTCTACTGTCAAAGTACTTTCGTCTTGCTGGGGCTTTATTACATATTTTATCTTCCAGAGACAGCACAGCCAAGAGCACGACTGAAAAGCCTGGCAGTTCACATATTTTCATGGGAAGGTAGACTGTGGGTTCAATTTCTGTGTGTGTCTTTCTTCCAGTGAACACAATATTAAACATTTAAACAATAATTAGATCAGGGACTGAAAATGAGATTTCCTTCTTCATTTGTGGATGGCAAAACCAGTGTTGCTAAATGGATATTTTTGTTTCCTCTCTCTCTTTTTCTCTCATTCTTGTTTAATGAATATTTAACCACTCCATATAATGATTCAGTAGGAATCAGGCCAAAATTTTTCTCCATTCCCACTCCCATCTCTAAACTAACCAAGTGCTAGGGTAACCTCTGGTCTGTAGAATATGAGGCATAAGTGTTTGCCTCTATCAGACAGAAAGGTTATGAAATAATTTCTTCCAGGGTCTCAGTTAACTTCTCTCATTACAGCTCTAAAAGACAAAAGCCGACCAGCACTGCAGCAGTTATATGTTCTATGCAAGGCACAAACCCTGCTTGAAATAATAAGTAAGTTTCAGGCATCTATCCTCAGAGTAAATTCAGAAGTGTGATGTTTGGAGTGGTGCATTAGCCTAAAAAATAATAACTAATATAAAATTATGGTGTGTAAAAAAAGGCAGCTTTAAAACACCCCACCCCCTCTGTAGCATTTTCTATTTTATCTGTCCTATGACCTATGTAAATACTTGCCTAATTCTTTCTGTAAATACTGTAAATGCTGTAAATGCTGTATGTCAGATCTACCTTCTGGATTCAACTGTGATGCCAAGGGACCCAAATTCTTCTGTACTTTCTACTCCTTGACTTAGTTCTTTAATCTAAAATTGGGAGATTAGTATCTTTCTACCAAGAAGGGAAAAGATTCACATTAATAAGGTGCTATGGAAAAGACGACAATTAAACACTGTGATGTGTTCAGCTACTCTGGTGAGCAGTCCAGTAGCGACCCAAGACAGACAAACACAAGCAAATTCAAAAGTATCTTTCCTTTGATTTTCTTTGGACTTTTGGATTAGTTCTCAGAGCAACTATTTTCCAAAACAGTTCAGGGGTTAGTGGTTCCCCAGTATTCTAAGAAAAGCACTTTGTAGCTTATAAACCTATTTTTTAAACAGCTTTTCTGCTATGACTATGTGTTCTGTGACACATTCATTGTTGCATTGTTACGTTACTGATTTTACAGCCCAACAATATTCTATACTAGTTGGTAGCAAGAAGCACAGTTCAGATGGCCCCACAGCGTTTACTAGCAGTAGTTACTGAAATACAAAAAATACTGCTATATAAGTTTGCGATTAAATTTTAATTATATACTATTTGTTGTTTGGGAAAAAAAGCATGAACAATGTGTACTGCAACTTGTATAGCTCTTATCTATATGAGGAGTCACAACAAGATACAATCTAGAAGTATTACATTAGTATGCTCATTTTGCAAATATGCCTATGTCAAATGTATGACTGGTTCACACTGGCACCACTTGATACAATTTCAAGGATATCATCCTTTTGTACAGTTTCAAATTTCAAGGGCATGATCCTTTCAGACAGTCACTTAATACTTTACTTTCATTTTCTTTCCTTCTTTGAACAAGTATTTGGGAATTATTCCCCTTTCACACACGCAACATGAAAAGAAATACTGTACAGAAAAAGATAAAGCGTATAAAAGAAAATGAATGCAGACAGGCAGAGATCTATAAAAGATTTTATAGCAGATGTACAAGTAAAAGATGAAGTGAGGTCAGTAGAAGATAACGAAGATGAACAGTGCAAATTTTAAGGAGAATTATGCACTGGTGGAAAGAGAAATTGTCAACCATTGAGGACTGTATCTGTGTTGTACTGAAGATTCCTTTTCCCAAGATGGAATGCTTGCATTAAAATGCCCAGAGAGAAAACCCAGACTAGACCAAATAAAATTCCATCCACAAGGACTGCAGTATGCAGTATTTATTATCTATTTTGTACTGTGTAAATAACCCATACATGACTTGTACATATGAGTACTTGATCATACTCTAATAAAGAAGATGAGCACTAATTATTTAGCATACAAGCTATCTGGAAGCTGCAGGCTTTCTTGTTGCAAGCAAATAAAACTGCTCTCCTATAATGCAACTCTTCCAAAAATAGCTCTAAAAAATTGAATTGTATGGCTCCATGTGTATTGTCTTTGAATTACTCTTAATCACATGCACATTTTCTTTTTAATGCAACCCTACAAATTAATCCAGCACACAAAATAATCTAGGATCTCTCTCTCTCTCTTGCACATTATCAAATACGCTCTCAGTAACATTGTGAAATTCTCAAATCATCGGTGAAACTGAATTAGGTAAATAACTCTTGCAGACAAAAGGACAGCCAGGGGTGGCATCTCTGTACAACTTATCTGAAATTACATGCTACAGGTGACGCAGGGAGTATAGATTGCACCTGACTCCCTTTTGGCTTTGCATCCTGCAGGAGCCAGCAGGAACAGAGCTGCAAACTGATGCTCTCAGTAAATCACCCTGCGGGAATGTGGCTACACACGAAGTATAGCTTTACTCATTAGGAAGCCTCATTTCTAAAAAGGTAGCATCTAGAAAATAATCATTGGTAATGACAGACCTTTGTTTTAATACAGCCATTTGGAAAGAAAAAGCTAAATAAAGATGGAGGAGATAGAGGGGCAAAACCTATCACCATTTTCCCCCACTGAGAACAGTCTAAATACAGCCATTTAACAGCTCCATAAGCATATGACTTGTATCCAGAATTACTACAAGCCTTTTCCAAAGCAGGCTGGTGCACTTATAAAGATTTTTTTTTTTTTCTTTAAACTAACACCTGGCAGATTAGAGTGTAACAGTGGCCAAACTGCGTCAGACCAGAGGTCCATTAGTTTAACGTCCTGATAATGGCCAGTCCTATGTGCTACAAGAAAAAACAGAACCAGAGCAAATGTACACCTTATTACATTTTAATGTCATCATCAAGCGGAATGGAATTAATAACAGTTTGTGCTACTCTTCCAAAACGCTATATTCTTCAGTCTTTTATTTTGCCAAGTGCACTGATACTAAAATCAAAGATGGATTTGTTTACTGGAGAGTTGGTCTCATAGCAAATGCTGTTGGCACAAGACACCTACTGAAAGCAAGTGGATTTGCTGTCCAATATCTAATTTTGTTGGTTCTTTGCTTGTCAGAGCTGACGCAACCTAGCACAAGGTTCACAGGATTACTATTTAAGACCCTACTGGCTAAAAGATCTCCTGCTCTAAGTCAGGAAGCGTATCACTGAGTCATCCAGAAGAAAAAAAGCTGTACGCAGGCAGCTGCATAAATTCTTGCTTCAATTATAAATTGTGCTGCCAGTTTCACTTTTCAACATCCTAAAGAAAACCCTCAGCCAATTCTGGTTTTGCAAATCCATGAAACCCCATAGCACGAATCTAGTTCTGGAGTGCACAGTGTACTAGCCGGGAAAAAGGGAAACACGTACATAGTAATGATAAACTATCAATAAGAATTAAAACCTAGTCTTTTTACATTAAAGATAACCATGAAAATACATTAATGTAAAATTAATGATACTCATAATCAAAATTAAACAATTAAAACTCCACCCAGACTACACACATCGGAAGTTTTACATTTTCTTCTGGCTGCTTTGTGCTCCGGACGTTCTCCAGCAGTATGGAGTAGTAAACACCTTGCGGGTCAGACTGGTACAGGTTGTATGTGTCCGTCTGGTACCATTCCTGAACAGCCACAAACACCTGGTTTTCATCTGTACTGATTATCTGTAAATCCTGTAGAAAAATAAGATACAAAATGACTAATTTTCCTATCATTTCTATTTTACAAACAATAAGCTGGCCTGAAGAGTCAAATGCGGGGGGCCAAGGGAGGAGGAGTGCACCTGAAAGTTCAGGGACTATAATATCTCAACATACCGCTGATCCACATGTTGTATCCCACCACTCTGAGGTGGTCAGTCACTGCCTTTTGGCTACAGATTATCAGAGTGCAAACCAGCTTAGTGAAGACCAAAAATCATGAATGTGCAAAAGCTGTGATCTGCTTTGACTTTTAAGGGAAATGACTTCTTGAAGAGAAGGAAAAAAGGAAGGGGGTGGGTAGTCAATGGTTTTCCAAGATGTGGACAAGATATCAATGGAAGCCTGACACAACACAAATAAAGCTAATCTAAAAAACAATCCTCAGGTACCTAGAGAATCAAGAACTAAGGGTAAAGCATCACATAGCATGAGGATCAGATACAATTTACAGAAGTTACACATAGGAAATAGTACGTCATGCACACAGCTCACGTAGATCGTAGTACATAACACTAACTTATCTATCTATGTAGACAGATCCACTCAAATATTCAACAGTGATAACATGTGAGTCAACATTCTGCATTCATTTCTTAGGAATTTCAGGCGTGGATATTGCAACAGCTTGCTTTCAGTTTTCCTAGCTTCTTCACTCCAAACTTCTCAGACAAAAAATGCACAGCTGGGGAAAATAATTTAACACTAATATTAAACAGAAGGAATAAATTGGGAAGTAGCAACAGTGAACTAAGCTTAGCAAACAGAAAAAAAGGACATGAGTTTGCTATAGGATATGGCAGCATAAAAGCAGTTGTGGTTCTCCTGCCTTAGGGTGGGGTGGGAGGTGCTGAGTCAGCAGAAGCCACGCACAAGGAGCCAAAACAAGTGATGCAGAGGGACAGGGAGACTAATTTTGGACAGACTGGAAGGATCAGGTGAAAGAAAGAGGGGTTGGATTCGCAACTTTTACTGCAACAAATGAAAGTTTATTTTTGGCAGTGACCGTTACAAAGACACTTAGATTGTTTGGTGCCAGTTTTTTCTGAGGCAAGAACTTAACAAATCCTGGTTTTAGCAAGTCAAATTGCCTTTCCGCTTCCTTGAACTTTGTTCCTGCTATGCAGAATTTACACTTTCAGATTTCTAGTTAAGTCTTAGCACTATTTCTTACGCACAGTGATTTCTTTTTCCCTCAAGAAGAAAAACATTCCTTCAGTTATATGATCTTGGAATAATACTGCTCTTCCTGCCCACAGTCATGATATAACCATCTAGGAAAATTAACTGACAAAGCAAGGAGAACAGAAAATTTCATGCATGATACTTGAATATGTTAAATTCCTGAATAGCATAGACTGTTGAAAATCTAGCCAAAACAAAGCTAAACGGTCATGTCACTTTTGTACTATTCCTATCCTAGAAAACTGAATTTAAAAAGAAGAAGGAACACTTGATTGACAAATACAGAGGCTGGGTCTTCAGGGTGCCAAGTCCAACCCTTCAGTCCAGCTACCCACTGTTCGACAGACAATAAGCACACGAAGGTGAAATGTTGGCAAATATTGATAGACAGATCTTACTGTCAGTAAACAGTTAACCAGTAAGGGGAGACAGAGAGAAGAAATATCTTGATTCAGGGAATGAGAGTTTTTATTGGTTTGCCTAATTCATGGCCACAGATACTACCTTAGGCTGTAAGCTCAGCAGATCCTATAAGGAAAGCATTTATTCTTTGATGATTTCATGCTTGGACTACTGCAATTGCTTTCTTGCTGGACCTCCTGCTTTCTCTCTCCACATCCTGCAGGCTACTCAAAGTCATGCTGATTATCTAATTTTTCTGTAATTATGTTATTCACACATAATTTATTCAAATTCATTTATAAAGACCTTCTCTACTAATGTTAGAGATCTTCAGGGTTTGGAACATTCCTTATTGTCACTACTCAGATTTCTGTTTCTCTCCAGGCTGCTTTTTTACATATATTCAGTATTTGAGCTCTTGTGCTTTCCTTTCATTTCCATGCTCAGGGAGTCCTTGCACTTTCAGGTGTCCCAAGGCAGAACCTTTTTCCACATTTACTGTAGCAACCATGTTGTTTCTTCAGTGCCATGCTCATTGCTCTATGGCCATCCTTTCTCTCAAGTCTACAACTTTACTTTTGCTCTGTCCAGTCTGATATGTCTGCCCTGTTCCATGTCTTGTTGACCCTCTTGATCCTGGGAACTACAGGCCTGTCAGCCTGACCTTGGTGCCAGGCAAGATTATACAGTGATTCATCGCAAGTGCGCTCCCCGGGCATGTGAAGGACAACCAGGGGACCAGCATGGGTTCATGGAAGGCAGGTCCTGCTTGACTAACCTGATCTCCTTCTACGACCAGGTGACCCACCCAGTGGATGAGGGAAAGGCTGTGGACGTCATCTACCTGGACTTTAGTAATGCCTGTGACGCTGTTTCCCACAGCATCCTCCTGTAGAGACTAGCTGCCCATGGTTTGGATGGGTGTACTCTCTATGGGATAAAGAACTGGCTGAATGGCCAAGCCCAAAGAGTGGTGGTGAATGGAGTCAAATCCAGCTGGCGGCCGGTCACAAGTGGTGTTCCCCAGGGCTCAGTTTTGGGTCCAGTCTTGTTGAATCTCTCTGTCAATGATCTGAATGAGGGAATTAAGTGCACCCGCAGTAAGTTTGCAGATGACACCAAGCTGGGAGCCAGTGTCTACCTGCTTGATCTAGACAGGCTGGGTCGATGGGCTGAGGTCAACTGTATGAGTTTCAACAAGGCCAAATGCCGGGTTCTACACTTGGGTCACAACAACCCTGTGCAACGCTACAGGCTTGGGGAGGAGTGGCTGGAAAGCTGCCTGGCAGAAAAGGACCTTCGGGTGTTGGTCAACAGCCGGCTGAACATGAACCAGCAGTGTGCCCAGGTGGCCAAGAAGGCCAGTGGCATCCTGGCTTG